CTGACGTCCTTTTTAACTACTTTTCTTTTTTAAAAAATTAATTCTAGACCACAATTCTGTAAATTTAGAGTCCCTGGAGACATATAGTAATTACATGTATATTTATCTCTACTTGTTAACATTTTGTAAGAAATCCTTGTTTTTTTTTTAAATTCTTTATCTTAAACACCTCTCTGCTGAAAGTAAAGAAAACAACAACAGGAAGCCTGCAAATTCAGAATGCACAATGGGCGGAGCTATCATGTCAGTCAAAACATTTTTCACGCATGAGTGAACAAAGCAGTCCCAGAAAGCAGTCCCGTGGACTGCTGGGACTGCTGAGTCTGCTTTCTAGAGCAGTCCCACAGCAGTTCCAGAGCGGTCCCAAAGCAGTCCCGGGGACTGCTTTCTGGAACTGCTTAGGCGTCAGGTTGGGTCTGGTTGGTACTGTAACATTTGCATATTTTATTTGAATTTGAGGTACATCAGTTAAATCAAAGATGTCCGTGTATTAAAAGTAATTTCTAGAAAAGAAAGGAAAATCATATTTGAAACTCAATAAATTAATTTTTTATGTTGGAAAACATAATGAGCAATTAATTCTTATATTTTTTTTTTAAAAGTGGGGGTATTTCAGTAAGGCTTGCAATGTAGTTTTGGTATTGAAAACATTGTCAGCAACTCTTAAAATACTTATTTCAATCAGTATTGAAATCATTATTTGAAATCTTTATTTAATACTGAACGTTATTTCAATAGTGGTTGCAACCTTTTTTAGGTTTTTAAATGTTTTTAATACCTCTTTTAAAATCATTGTTTCAAAAGTAAACGTTATTTCAATAGGAGTTGCAACTTGTGTTCGGTTTTGAAATGCACTTTCAACCACTATTGAAACAGGGATGGGGTAGTGGTAATGTGTAATGGTAATTGACAGTAATTAATTACAAATTTCGATGTAATTGAAAGTAATGTGTAATTGGCCCGATTTTCAATTACTTGTGAGTAATTTAATTATTTACTTTTGAGAAAAGCATGTAATTCACAATTACTTTTCAATTACATTCAATTACACTGGTGTTTAATAAATGGGAAATAACCCCCTCCCTTTTTTTTTTCAAATCCTAAACTTTTATTCAAGAAAGGTTAACTGATTTTTAGGAAAAATTGTTCTATAATATATTTTAAAAAATATACATTTTCTTTATTTAGTGAATTGCTGTTTCCTCTTTAAAATGCATTTTCTTCAAAACTTTTTCATATTATTTATCTCCTTGTTTATAAATATATCAAATAAAATTAATAATTTCAATTAAGTTGTTTATGAATTAATTGACACTTAAAATATCTAGTCCAATGGCTTCTAATCCTTTGTTTGCTATGGTTCACCATTTGCCATACCTACAGCTTGTGTAAGAAGTGATTAACAGGTGCTAATTAGTGCCCTAGGGTCATGTACATATTGACAATATATACTTAACTTAAATAGAGATTTAACACTCAATCTGACTTTACCTAATGGTAGTTTTATACACATACATTGACTATGTCTTCCAACAAATCTTTTTTTTTAAATATATAATTTGGTGTTATAACACCAATTTTTCTATTTTCCAAAAATATTGTGGGAAGACAGTAGTTTAACACATAATATGTCAAATACTATAACATTTTGAGATGTATAACTTAGGATGATGAAAAAAGCATGTAACAAGGAAAAAAGCATTCATTGTTTTGCATAAATGTATCAGAATGCTTAAAAACGGACACATGAATTAATGGAAAACAGCATCCAGGTCCTGAAAAAGGGCCATGTCCCAGTTGAAAATTGGCTCTTTTTCCCCCCCAAATTCAGGTAATAATTCCCCACTGATGACCAAATTCATTTTTTATGCTGTTTATATAGAGAAATAACATCATTTTTAAAGATACATATCATGTGTATATGGGGAACAAGTCCACTATTTAACTCTTTAATCAACAAATAAATCTATGTCAACAACATTTCCCAATTTTGCCACTTTTTCGATTAAAATTTTACAATTAGAAGGGTACAGGACCCTGTACCGAAAACGGTCAATTAAGCCCTGAAATTTGTATATTAGTCAGTATTTATTTCTGTCACAAATGCTCCACTGTGTAAAATATCTTCATTGTGGCAGAAAAACCTGATAGATGTAGGTTAGGGGACACAGTATTTTAAAATTTCATTAACATCTAAACAATGTTTACTTAATAATATGAAAAATAGTAACTGAATCTGTATGAATATAAATGAACGTTCATGATTATTTATCATTGTTTATTTTTATGTGTTTTTTCTTAATGTAATATGTAATTTAATTAATTACATTTGCAAAGTAATTATAATTTAATTAATTACATTTCAAAATCCTTGTAATGGTAATGGTAATTTAATTGAAGGTTTTGGGCAAGTAATTGTAATTTAATTAATTACTTTCCTATGTTATTGACCCCATCCCTGTATTGAGATAATTATTTCCATAGTGAACGTTATTTCAATAGTGGTTACAACCTGTGTGTGGATTTGAAATGCAATCTCAACTACTTTTGAAATAATTATTTCAATAGTGAACTATTTCAATAGTGGTGGCAACAGACCTCTCTATATGAGTTAAAAATCTCCAATGGGACGTAAAACAGCATACAATCTTCTATTACTCTCCAATGAATCTGCATACAAATATTCGGCAGTATCACTTGACTAGGGAATATACGGAAAATACATGAATAAAATCATGAAACAGGCATCGCATCGAAGTTTATGGCCTCTTACATGTTTTATTTCATTTCAAAATGCGCTTATTCATTGAGAAAATATTACTTAATCCGCCTGACACTGCATACAATCTGCGTCAAATTTTACGATATGACATTACATTAACAAGTGCATTGCGATCAGTAAATTGTTTGTACCGTACTGTGTGGGATATATTTAAATACAGAACTGCATGCTATATTAAGTTTTGATGTAGTTTAAAGCTTCGAAAGTTTAAAATCGCAGATCATTTTATTTTCAGGTAATTTGAGGAATTGTTATTTTCGTGTCAAGTAAATATTTCTTGTAAAAATTATGCCCCGTCTCCTTTTTATAGCCTTAAATGTGCTGCATATTTGTAACTGTGATGTCACAATGAGTATGACGTAACAATGTTTAGATTTATGAGATACTACTCTATAATAGAAACATGATATTGTTAAAATAGAAAAAATAAAACAAATATAGAAATATAGAAATTTACTTCGGTTCAGGCCCTAAATAATTAAAGCTAGGGAAAACTAAATCAACAAATTTCATGCTCGTTTGACATACTTTCTGTAATCTAGCTAGGGATTCTCACTAACCTATATTTCTGTTTTATTCATATATTTTTAAAAAAAAAAAATCTTTGCACACAGGTATATCAGGACTATTCATAAAAACTATTCAGAAAAATGAGCTTGATTTCTCAAAAGTATAATTTTGATTAGTAATGCATTCCTTGAATCAGTCCCCGCATTCCCACACTTCTCTTTAATAATAGTATTACCCATATGATGATCACAGGTAATTTCAAATTTGACGTATAATTCTGATATCATAGGGTGCTTTCATGATCGTAGTAGCTATGCAGCGCTATGTACAGAGAGCTGTGGTATAAAACGATCTGCTAGTCTAGCTGCTAAGAATATAGACTAAGTGAAGCCTAGCTTCTCCGATCTTGAACGCAGGCAAAATTTTATGAACGAAAGACGATTATACATTTTGCAATGCCTAACATTCTGCATCATATATATATATATATATATATATATATATATATATATATATATATATATATATATATATATATATATATATATATATATATATATATATATATACGATGGTTTTAAATTAAACGTAAACTACACGTTATGTGCTTATTATCATGCATTAAATGCAGTAAAAATACATTTAAGTTTAAGATAATTGGAATCGCTGAGAGTTCGAGACAGTTTTAAAGGTATCAATGAAAGTTTTGAATCGATTTACATTTCATCCAATAAGAATAATTCTGATCATGCGCATTTATTGTAAAATGGCATCTTCCCTTCCACAGGGAGTATATAAGAAGTGTGTTAGAGTGAATATCGTTTTTTGGACCAAGCATTTTATTGCGATATCGTTCGTTCGAACTACTATTTTCATTTCTTCCAATTGTGTTATTCTAATAGTAACAGGCTGATTTAACTGAGTATTGGTCAAACAGCGGATATTTGTCTATTTGGATTTAACAACACCATTATACGAGGAATTTTTGCAAATGGTGTCAATGTAACACTCTGTTTGTCAATGAAAATTATATAAAAATTCCGTGGGAGACTGATATTTCAGAAAGTAGGAACATGTTAAAGAGGGGTATGTTGATTTTACTTGTTTGTTGAGAACGATCACATTTTTGACGTCTTTTTTGTTTTATATAATAATAATTCAATATTTCTCATGTTTTTATTTGATCTTTATTTTCAAAGCATACGTGTTTTGCAATCAATTTGGAGAGTATTTGCACTGCATGTGTAACAGCAAAAACAGATTCAACTTTTGGCCTGTCCGAGAATGGTGGTGAACCAGATAAACTTTCTATAAGGTTAATTTACTACAATGTGGGAAAATACATGTTAATCAATTTAGAGAAAAGTACACAGCAATTTTGCTCACTGTATTGTACAAAATGTATTTGATTGTTGCATTTGTATGTGCATTGAAAGTTATACCACTCTATGTTTAATACGAAAATTAAATAAAAAACAAAACAAATAAATTAAAAAAAAAAGAGCTCTTTCTGTAATTTAAATATTTCAAACATTATCAGATTAAAATAGGATTTTGAATTTCAAGCATAAGCAAATAGCATCAAACTTTAACAGCAAGCTTTTCTAGTAGTATATATAGGAATGGAAACTGTTTACAAAAACTCGCATGTACTGTGTTATAGATTTAGGTTGATATTAGTCTATTATAATATATACTTCCTTCTTACCAGATTGTTGTACACTTTGAAGCGTCTTGACGTGTAATTCGCGTATATCTTCTCTTCTAGGTTTCTTACTATAAAAATACCATGCTGCACTTTGTCGCTAAGATTGGGCCAATATTGTGTACATTTAATCTACAAGAAAAACAAATTGTTTAATTGGTAACAACGCTCAACCCTAGATTACTCTAAAGTATGACATAAGCGCTTATCCACATTGCATAATGGTGGTAAAATTACACGATAATGGTTAAAGACCCCTGAACACATTGTATTTTTTTTCACCGATGCCCATAGGCGTTTTATTTTATTAGTTTTGGTATAACTCTGAGACACAATATAGAACACATTATGAGATAAGTCCTCGAGCAGCGGATATAAACTTCCTTTTGGACATGTTTTAACGGCTGATTTTTATCATTATTATATGGTCATTATCATATTCATGCAGCGTGCACTTAAAGATTCAGGAGTACAGAAGGTTAGGTACACTGTATAACACATTTCCTAACCTGTAGGTATATTTTATAAAAGAAGAAAAATATATTATGATAAAAATGTTTGAGCTCCAAAATATAAAATGTCAGCTGTTAAAAACCTGAGTTACTCAGGTGACCTTTTGCTATCTGTTTTCGTCCGTCGTCGTGTGGGTGTGTGGGCGTGCGTCGTGCGTAAACTTTTCACATTTTTTAAGTCCTCAAGAACCACTGGACCAATTGCAATCAAACTTGCCAAAAAGTATCCTTGGCTGAAGGGAATTTAGATTTGTCCAAATGAAGGGCAGCACCCCCTTCAAAGGGGAGATAATCAAGAAAAGGCAAAAATAGGTTGGGGTCATTTAAAAATCTTCTTCTCAAGAACCAAACTTATATGAAAGCTTCCTGACCTAGTTGAAATTCAGGTTTATTCAAATTATGGCCCCTGGGGATAGGGTGGGGCCATAATGGGTGATTAAAGTCTTACATAGCACTATATTTAGTAAAATCTTTAAAAATCTTCCCAAGAACAACAAAGCCATAGATTGTCATATTTATATGGAAGCATCCTCAGGTAGTATAGATTTACGTTTGTTCAAATATCGGGATTCCCGGGTAAGGGTGGGGCCACAATGGAGGATCAAGTTTAACATAAGAATATATATATATATATATATATATATATATATATATATATATATATATATATATATATATATATATATATATATATATATAGGAAAAATTTCAAAAAATCTCAAGAACAGCAGAGCTATAGATGGTCATATTTATATGGAAGGTTCCTCGGGTAGTGTAGATTCTTGTTTGTTTAAATTAAGACCTCATGGGGAAGGGTGGGGCCACAATGGAGGATCAAAGTTTTACAGAGTAATATGTAGGTAAAATCATTAAAAATCTTTTTCTCAAAAACAGCAAGCCACAGATGGTCATATTTATATGGAAACTTCCTCAGGTAGTGCAGATTCATGTTTGTATTTATGACCCCTGGGGGTAGGGTGGTGCCACAATGGGAGATCAAGGTTAAATATAGGAGTTTATAGGACAAAACCTTTAAAAGTCTTCTTCTCAAGAACAATAGAATCATCGACGATCATATTTATATGGAAGCATCCTCAGTAGTGCAGAATGCCAGATTAAATTTTCTTCAAATCTTGACCCTGGGAATGGGGCCACAATAAAGGATTAAAAAATATTTACATGGGAATATATACTACGAAAAAAATCATCAAATTCTGCTCGTTTAGAACAGAGGATTTATGCTGGGTCATGAAATGCCAGCATAAATTCTCAGGTTATGCAGATTCAAGTTTTTTTTTTTCTAATCATAGTAGGAGGTGGGGATGGGGGACGATTGGGGATCAAATTTTACGTAGGGGTAGGAGAAAATCTTCAATTTTTTTAGAGGGTGTCATGTATTTAAATCTATTATACATGTACAATGTTTATTTCATTTACTCATCAATTTATAAGAGACAAGGTGTATAAATTTGATAACGATTACAGAGTTCTAATCAAACTGTTAAATGTATGTGATATAAGTCTATTTAGCCAGTTCCAGGTGGGCTCGAAGTGGATATAGCCTAAAAACCTCATGATACTCAGGTGACCATTAAGGCCCAAGGGCCTCTTGTAAAGACGTAAACTTCCTTTTAAGTTTATGACATAACTGGCAGTGGCAATGAAAGCATTCTTTTTTTCTTAATTCATACCGACAGGAAGTTATTAAAATAACTTCAAGGAAACCAAAACATTACAATAAAGCGTTAAAGTGATTTAGTTACAATTCATCATTAATCATCAAACCTTTGTCCCTTCTTTAAGATTTGTCAGACAAACAACGGTAGTTACACATTCCTGCCATACCATCCTCCAGAAGTCAACCACTGTTTTTGGTTTTGGACCTGCAAATATATATATATATATATATATATATATATATATATATATATATATATATATATATATATATATATATACAGTGAAAACTGTCTAATCCGACACCTGTGCAATCCGTCACACTGTGAAATCCGACGTTAAATTTCATTCCCATTTTACTATTTTCCATGTTTTCTACACTGTGCAATCCGACACCCTGTCTATTCCGACACAAAATCCGTCTCCCAGTACATGTCGGATAAGACAGGTTTCACTGTATATATATATATATATATATATATATATATATATATATATATATATATATATATATATATATATTTATATATATATATATTGAAATAACATCACCACCACATTGTGCAAATAAATTGACAAAATATATATGTTCGGTTTATATACACTTCTCAAATCGTCGAAAAACATACCTTGAGTTGCAATGTAATTTCGTTTACTCTGTGTATCCTAGTAAAAAGATGAATGTAAAAAAAAAAATAAAGCTTTATCGAACATCTAAATTTTTTTTCTAATATGGAAAAATCATCAAAATAATTTCAGGAGACATTTTTAAGTATTCTGAGAAGAAAAAGCCTTAAAGGCATAGAAAAGGTGATATTTGTTTAATCTTGCACGAAGGTCAATGCACCAACAATTTTCTTGTCATTTTTTTCATCTTTAACTTAAATTCCCGTTATTGTTAAATTCTCACTTTCATCACCTTTTTTGTTTTGTTTTGTTCGATTAAGTGCTTAAACATGGCAATGAAAAAAATGTACTTGCCTCGATGTAATTAGCATTGATGTAGTCATTTTCGTTTGCAGATGGGGTTTTCAAAACAACCCTCGAGTGGTCATCTGTATCATTGCATGAAAACAATATATAGTTTATAGGATATAGGAGATATTCGATGTTTCGTAGTTGAATATGGAATTCATTAAACGAGTGGCACATATTTTTTTTTTAGATTTTCTTAAGTGCAAAGGACGAGTGAAAATTTCAAAGAATGCGGTCTTTTCAGTAAAATAAATTATATATTCAACTAAAAAAATATTGACTATCAGTTTACTACATTTTCTTTGAATTCCTTTTTCCTTGGTCTTTTCGAAAGACAATTTCACAGGCTGCAATGTCATATTTGAGCAGCTGAGTCGTCAAACTTGCCTTCGTGAGATTGAAAACAGTGTAAACATGGAATTAATATATATATATATATATATATATATATATATATATATATATATATCTATATATCTATATATATATATATATATATATATATATATATATATATATATATATATATATATATATATATATATATATATATATATATATATATATATATTGGGGGGACTTTGGTAGTTTCTTTCTTTTACAGGATGGTTTATTTACTCAATCTCATAACAGGCAAGGGAGTTTCTCTTACAACTTTCTTCGCAGTAAAGGAAAGTCGCACATCTAATATTTGTTCACACAGTGATAAAATGCTACTTTGATATTATTTCACACTCTAAGAAAATGTCATTTGCATTGAGTAAACTAAAAACAATTTTTCACCTTTAGAGATATAATAACTTGTTTTTCCTCAAACAAAAAGTAAAATCTTTTGAAATGTGCTATAATTGTAAAACCTACATGGAAATGTGGTCGTGTATCTATTTTTAGGTTTATTTTCAGGCTTTTTGGCTTCTTCACAGGGAAACTTTTCACCTCTAGGAATTTCCTATCATATTCAAAAAGAATAGTTTTAGTTCAATACATTGATTTATAATTATTGTTGAACATTTGTTAAAGAATTCATCAGATGTTAACTTGACTGCACAAAGCATAAATGCACAGTAAAAGAAAAACAACAACAAATAATTCAGTGCATTTTAACATGTCCAAAGCTTATTTGTGCTTATGCTATATGTTCTGAATTGTAAATAACCAAGGAATATTCCCTACACTTAGTTTCGAATTGCCAATTATCGTACATGATATTCATGTTTAAAACCAGCATTTTCAGCAGCCGTCATTTTTGCGATGATAGCTTGCAGATTCTTTATTGGAATCAGTTTCTTCGTTGGTGGACCTCTCTTAGTTGTTTCTTTTATCATGTTTATATCAGGAGATTTATAATTGTTCCGATCCTTACTTCTTTTTGTGGTTGATCCTGAAATTTTTTTAAAAAAATCAATTTCATGTGACGTTTGTTTGTTCCACGCAAAAAAAAAAAAAAAAAAAAAATTGCAGACACAGAAACGATTATCCTGAAATAAATAAAAAGTGTACATTATTAAATATTATCAAATATTTAAAAATAGATGCTGTCATAAGACAGTTATACCAGCACTAAGGTGTTTGCCTCTAAATGCGCTCTCCTTCCATTCCAGTAACCAGGGAAGAGTTAAGCACACATTTAAATCAAGCATAAAATGCTCAAGTGAACATGCAACCCACATAGGCCTCTTATGTAAATATTTCATAACCAGTTTGATATTACAAAATTAATTAATTAGTAATGTAAATTCTGTTAAAGAGAGAATTTTTGAAAGATTTGTGTAAAAAAAAGAAGAGGGGGGGTTAATTTTTGGTCCATAATTGGAACTTGTTGAATTTATCGTCAAAAACAAAATACTATAATTTTCGTGCATACCTTTTTTGTTGAAATAAAAAAAAGTAGAGGCCAAAATGACAACTTGTGCAAATTTTTATCAGTGTTAGGAAAGGAAATCCCCTTTCCAAACCTACACCCGATCAACTTTGTCAAAAATCAATTCCCACCCACGATTCACTTGTTTTCCTGTCATATTTGGAAGAGATAAATAAATACAAACTTATTTTAAAAAAACATTGTATGTAATTATTATATAAATTTTACAAATGTACACCTTTTTGGAAAACTTCTAGACCCGTGCATGGCGTTGGAATTACGTCACATCACGAGCACTACTTTTACTGTTATCTGTACATCATTATTACCAGTAGGAATATTCATTGTGTGTGTTCGGAAATTACATTATAAATATAAAAGTTTAGTATAGAACGCAGGCCCGTAGAACGACAAGGAGGATCTCACTTTTTCTGAGTATAGTATTTTGCTATGGTAAAGTTTCCTTTATATGCCTATCATTATAATTTCCCTTTATATTCCTTTATCTATCACTTTTGGTTGCTTATGATCGAGCACTGGCAAATTCCAGGATTTAGACAGTTAATTAGGGGTTTTTTTGGCTTGTCGGATTTTTTGGTTGCCCCCCCCCCACTTTTCCAACCGTTGCTACGGGCCTGGAACGGGGTAAAATAATCAGAAATGAAATTGGTTAGGGGCCTATAGTTTGAAAAGGGTCAAAGATCATTGGAATGCCACATGCAAATTAAACATTGAAGCAAATCCCGGGGATCATTCCCACTCTTTGGAACCGGAAACAATTAAATAGCTTTCATTAAAGCAAAAGCCCTTAAGTGGTCTTTGTATTATTACACACAATAGGATATAAGGGTTCATGACCCCCGGACGTCATTCCCAACCCCTAAATCTTAAAATGATTATATATCTTGGAAATGGTTGAAAACTTCTCCCCTTAGCCATACATGATATTGTTCCCTTGAGTCATTATGCATTGCATGATATAAAGATTATGACCCCCTTGAAGTCATCCTCACCCTGAAACTGGAAATGATCACAATATGACCTGCGTCAAAAGTGTGTTAGTGAAAATCTGCTTGACATTTTATTCATGATTCCTTAGGGTCGGCCCACCCTCCTAGAATTAGAAAATGAAAATCATTCAGAGACCCCTCATTAAGCTTTGTGTACATGTATATTTTTGTATTACTCACAATTTATTTTATACCAAAACAAGTTATAAATAATTTGTATACATGAACGACCCGGGGGATGGGAAGGGGGGAAAGGGAAAGGAGTTATGTCTGCATGGTCTTAAATATTGACAACTCCTAAATTTGTGAATATTAACCCGGCAGTTTCCCACTTGTCATCATTATTTACTGATCTTCTAAACATATATATTTATTAAATCAATAGATCATGGACTTTTTGGTCATATGCCTAGCTCTCCTTTGAATCAGGAATGGTGATATAGATATTTTAAGAATGATTAAGAATTAATACAGCTCTTACACAATCTCTTAAAATTGATTAAGCTCTGTAGTTGATTTAGCTATACTGGTATAGCTTGATTTTGCTATTCAAAACACTTTGATTAAACTATTTAATCATTTTTTTTAAAATGTACATTTTTATCAATATGGATAAAAGCTGCACTCTGTTGACATGGGTATAAATTTTAAATTTTCAGCTTTGAGTTTTCTGAAATAAAATGCATGAAAAACATTACTGTTCAAATATTGTGTCTCCTGAGCATTTGCTATCACAAGTTTATAAAGTTTTGCATGGGGCTATATACCTGGGGTAATCTCTCTCTCTCCTCTTTCTCTCTTTCTAACATATACTTGGGCCAAAAATTAAAATGGAATTATAAGAAAGTTTTTTTTTATTTTTTAAATTGATGACTTTTAAGGATTTTACACTGTGTAATTCATACTGCAGCTAGAATGATATCCCTCCCAGATATGTAAAAAAAAAAAAAATTCACTATCTTGTCTTTGATGTATATCTATAACTACAGAAGGACACAGCCAGAAGTCTTTAAACGTGGTTTGTTACAAATTTTACATGGAACTCCCATTGCTCAAGATCAATATATTCAGTAGGCAGACACGAAGTCCATTAATAATGCTGAAAGGTACTCACTGTAAACAATCACCTGACTTGTTGAAGACAGGTAAACATACCCCTAAGGGTATAATTATCATACATAGGCCTGTACAAAATTGAACAGTCAGGATTTAATCATCATTATTTTCACCATTTTCTTAGTTAAAATAAAAAGAAACACACTAGAGGTGTGAGGAAATATTTAGAAACACAAAGAGTTTTATTTCTCATACAAAATATTCTTTCTTGTGTAAAACAATTGTTCAAATGAAGGGTCAAACCTTTTTTCAAGGGGAGATAAGAATTTACTTAGTGTATATTCAACTTTGTCAAAATCATGACCTTTTTGTCGGTTTTCTTCTTCATCAAATTTTGTACATGTCCAAGCCGTAACTTGACAACCATTTGACATCAAGACTTGGAACATGGAGAGGCGGTATGGAAGTGGAGTTTAGGCTATCAAACTTGTTTGACCTTGACCTATTGAAAGGTCAAGGTCATTCTTTACATCAAAATATAGTCTAGGCTATAACCTGAGAACCCTTTGACATTAGGATTTCAAACTTGTAACATAGAAAGAAGAAATTTACAGGATGCATTGCACCAAAATTTTGACCTTGACTCCTTTCTTCATTCAAGGACAACTTGAGAAAAACACCTTCAAACCTTAAGAACCCTTTGACATTAAAACTTCAACTTGGAACATGGAGAGGTTGTATGGAGAAAGGGTGCATGCCAACATTTTTTTTTTACCTTGACCCATTTATAAAGTCAGTGTCAATCTTTTACTTGAAATTATAATTCAAAGCATAATCTGAGAAACCTTTGACATTATTAATTCAAATTTGGAACATGGATAGAAGACAATGATACAAGATTTGCTGCATCATTTTTCTTACCTTGACCCCTTCTTCATTCATGGTCAGAATAAAAAAAAACCCAGACCATAACTCATGAGTTCTTTGACATTAATACTTCAAACACCATTGTTCGCGCCTCATTTGACCAGCAGATGAAAATGCAAATTCTGAAACCTTATTGCTCGTCTACAGGACACGACCAATCATCTTACAAAAGATACTTAGGCTACTGCATAAAAATGTAAGAGGAGTTCTGGGAACCAGGGTCTATTTTAAAAAAAAAAAAAAAAAAAAATCATTTTTAGACCCCCATTTGACCCCGAAGGTGAAAATGAAAATTCCGAAACCCTTTTGCACATTTACAGAACACCACTAATCATCTTCCAAAAGATGATTAGGCCGCTGTATAAAATGTAAGAGGAGTTCTGGGAAAAGGGGGTTTAGTAGAAAAAAAAATCATTTTCGACCCCCATTTGATCCCCAGGGTGAAAATGAAAAATCCGGAACCCTTTTGCACATCTACAGGACACCACTAATCATCTTCCAAAAGATGATTAGGCCGCTGCATGTGTAAAATGTAAGAGGAGTTCTGGGAACCAGGTGTTTGGTAGAAAAAAAAATCATTTTCGACTCCCATTTCACCTCCAGGGTGAAAATGAAAATTCCGAAACCTTATTGCACATCTACAGGAACAACCAATCATCTTCCAAAAGATTACTAGCCTACTGCTTGAAATATATATGTTCTGGGGACCCGGCTTTTGTAGAAAGAACGTCATTTTTTCCCCCGTTTTGCCCCCAGGGTTAAATTGAAAATTCCAAAACCTTATTGCATATCTAAAGGACACCATCTATCAGATTCCAACAAATTAATTGAATTCTGCTTAAAATGAAGGAGTAGTTAGATTAAGAAGAAAGTGTGACAGACGAACGGACGGACCAAAGTAACAACAATATGCCCGAATTTCTTTAGAAAGTGCGGATATAAAAATATATTTCAGATTTATGACAGTTGTTTGATAAGTGGGCGAAAACGCAACACTGAAACAAGGAAAGTACATGTGTTAAAAGCAAAATAGACATGTACGTCTTTACGATGAATATTATAACTTTTTTCGTATAACACTTGAAATACAAAAAAGGAAAAATGTCCAATACATTATGTATTAGTAAATTACTATAACTGCTTAAAATGGTATCAGTTGTAATTTGCACAGGAATACGTTTTCAAAGTTTTGTAGCCACTTTATTTTTATTCAGATTTATTTTCATGATTACAAAAGACCGTTTGATAGGCCATGGGTACTCTGATTGGATAGAGAGCCGCCTATTTTATTGAGAGTCCTTCATTCCAGATGTCAATAACGAGGTAAAATATTATTGTTATTACTTTACATAAAGAATTCACGTTATGCAAGGCATATTTGCAATTTTATTTCTTTACATTTTAT